CTGGATGACGTTTCGAACAAAATTTATTGTTCATAATCATATCAATTGTGATCACACGACTTTGACACTTGAGTTTTATATTTTATTATTGTAACAACAACAAATATTATATTTTATAATTGTAAGAACCTGAAGAGAAATTATTGAAAAGAATATTCTTCGTTCAGATTGAGTTTCAATTGGAGTAGACCTAACCAAAAGTTAATCAAAACCTGACTAACTCTCTTCCACCCTTCGTGTTTAAACTGCTCTGATACGATTCCTTCGTTATTATTTAATTCAGTTTGGACTCTCACTTTGATTTATTGGACTGAAGTGCTCAGCCTCAGGTTGACATGTCGGCTCCTTGTACGTAGGCCGAGAATTTCGTTCTAATCAGTCAGAGGGAAAGTCCCAATTGAATTCAGTAATAACTGGTCTAGTGGATAACGCCTTGAAATTTCAGAGAATGAGTACTGCGTTCGAGACTCAGGGGGAACACCATCACTTACTGGCGAATGTAGGTATATCCATTGACGAGTCCCAAATAGGACGAAATGCACGTTGTTCTGGATTCCACTGCTAACCAGCGACCACGAAATCATTTTTTCATTAATTAATAACTTCATATGTTAGCCAGTGAAACCCCAACCAACTGGTAATATCACCATAACCACCACTCCTTATATATCTTTGATTCTATTTCTCACCGTTTTTGTCAACCTTTGCTCAGTCCTATTGTACCCGCATTAAAACCTAGTTTATTCACTTCATAACCGTTCACTGGTATTACCACTGTGTCTACTCCACTCCCTTACAATATTAAACACTATTACTTAATTATTGGACATAATTTTAACTCACGGTTAGTAAAGGCGATTGAAAAGCTTTCAACTGACAACATGTATCCAAACTAGTGTGTAGAAAACAAGAAATCACATCCTTAGCCTAGCATGGACTATTCATACAATATCACTGCTTCTTAGTATTCAAGTTCAGTTAAATAACCGAATAGCTGTCGAAATCTTTATACTATTACGGTCAAGCATGCTAGTTGTAACGTGAATGTAAAGAAACTACCGAGTGTTATCATCTATCAATATTTGCCTTTTGAATGTCATAGATAAAAATTTATCAAAGGGAATTACTATTTTAGTACTGCTGTTTTGACATTATTAACAATGTTTTTCATCCCTCAAGCTTACATCCAGGTATGCCACATTTGTTTGTTCATTTCTATGCAGTATTCATATAATAGCTGACACCACTGATTGACTCACTCCTTGAAACCCGTGGATTTGTTGATCACAGATTCACAAACAAGTCACTCGTTGGCTATACATGTTATGCGCACTTAAACGATATTCATGATTAGCTGACGGACATAATTAAATTTTGTTCCACTTGTACCACAATACACTTGTTGATATAATTCTACCCTTCTTTTACTAACTGTTGTGAACTAACAGTGATGACTTTGTAACTGTGGAAGCAGTGGAAGGTACTGAAAACAGTAGGTTACAGGGTTTCATCATGAGCTGACATTGGTTAGAGAGCAACTAGAAAACCTGGAGTATTGGACAGTCATTTCGTCCTAGTTTGGGAATCTTCAGCTGCACCCACCGGAGTTCGGACCTAGGACCTCTTGGCTACAAGGCGAGCTTGTAGACCATTAAGCCACTTGGATCCGATCCAATGGCCAGCGCATGAATTCCAACTTCTGCCAATTCACTACATGTCGTGAATTCATGGGCATATTCCTAAATGTCTCCGTTTGAAAGGCAGCAAAGTGATCTCAAGTGCAATTGCCAGACACTTATTGACACTGGACATACAGTGGAAATTAGTTAGTCTCTCTAAATAATCGATACACAAATAAAGCCATGGTTACTTCGGTTTGCAGAAGCCATTGATCCAACCTCTCTTTACAGAAATATAGTGCGACTAATCAATCTCTCACTATCCTGGTGGCCAACCATAATTGTTTTGTCCCGTTGCATAACATTCCATTTAATTTTGATATTGATTTTCACTTACTGAGTTGAACGCACCACTAAGTTTTTAAATCTACTAAATTGTTTTGTTTATCTTAGAGTCTCACTTTACTATTCACCTCCCCTCTTCTGAGCGTCAGTCATAATATATATGCAAACTGAGTCTGTTTAATTCACATTTAGATTTTTCCCGTCGATGGGAACATCATCACTCACTGAGGAATGAAGATACATTGCAAATAGGAGGAAATTCGCATCCTGGATTCCACTGCTAGTCACCATCCACCAATTAACTTCTAATTAACTCTGTTATTCTATCTTTTATTTTGTCTCTAGTCCATTCTTGTTTCCAGGTGGAATCTGAACACTACTCCCTTGACTAATTACTATATAAATAGTTATTCTTTGAACACCAGTGAATTGTCTACTTACACCATCTTTGGAGTTGTGTTGCCTATACTCTCTGTCTATAACTTGAAGTCACTGCAAGAAGAATGTTCAGAAACTTTGTAACATGTGGTTGATTTTGTTTAGGATGTATGCAGTTGAAGAGAATCTACAAAATGAAAGGAGTTCGTGTTATCCTGCAAACATGTTCGTTCTTCCTTTATTTAGACTACCAAGGGTGGCTGATTTTATGAAAGTGAAAACTGAATTAAAATCACATGATGAGTGAGATTTACATGGGAAGTAGTATATGAATAATAAGTAAAATTTCACTAGCGAAGAAAGAGGAATATTATCTATTCATTTCCCCCAGAAATGAGAAACTATGTATTGCAGATAATGTTGACGACTGATTCACAGAATTTCCGAAAGACTCTTTAGTGAAAATGGCTCTTCCAGACAGTTTCGTAGATATTTGATTGGAGCAAAAGTAGGCGATTCCGTCGTTTCACCTCAAGTGTTATTTCAAGTTCAGTTGTTATCAGATATCTTGTTATTATTAACTTAATTTCACATTATCGATAGGCCATTTATTATCATCGTTTGTTGGAGTAACCTTTTTTCTGCTCCTTTTGATATGACGGTTGCTACACTTGACAGTTACATTAACGAAAATCCTAGGATATCCACTATTAGTGAAGAACATCAACACTACTTTTATGAGGTTTAATGTAACACCTCAACGAGACTTAAATTTTCTCTTTCCCTTGAAATTAACATCAGTTTAAAACGTATCCTAGTAGGTTTAAACTAGAACAACAGAAATTCTTCTCGAGTTTTAATGAACTCGATGAAGTAATGACTGAATTTTTCTACTTCACAAAATAATTCTAAGAATGCTCATCGCCATCTCTTCAAGTAGCCTAAATCAATCTGTCGGTGTGTTGTTTAAAATCATAATTCATATTAACAGGAAGAGAAATTTTATTAAATAGGTATATATTAGACATGTGAACATATAAAATTTACAAGGAAAGATGGTTGTCAGTTAATATAACAAGCAGTTTAAATAAAGCAATGAGTGCATAATCAATTACAAAAACACAGGATTGTTACTGTCCATCACACAACACGCAATTTTCATCTTCTCTTATTCTGGAAAACAAAAAAAATAGGAAAATGATAAAATCTGGGTGGATGGATATAGATATAGTATTCAACTGAAACTGCGGTGACAGATATTGTCATTATACCACAGTTATAACAACAGTGAACTTTGTGTGGTCACCTATATTGTCTTAGTAGAAATATTCGAATGAAGATAATCATTAAGGCAAGCAACCACACTTTCGGAATGCGCTCTCAGATTATTTTTGTTTGTGTAAATTCATCCCATCTGACTTTATATAACTGTGCATGTGATTCGGGATTAAAACATCCTTGTATCCTGTTCAACTGTGATTTTGAATTTACGTTTCACTCTTTTATTTTTAAAGCAGTCCTGGAAGATTCCAAAATGTTTACATCCAACTTCCAATGTGGTAAACTTTATTCCATTGAGCAATTAAAGATATATACATATACATATGTATATGCCCAAACCAAGTTCACTTTTAACAGTCTGAAAAAATTTAGGCATTTGGTACATGATATTAATTATTTAAAATGTTTCTGTATTTCTCAATGAATGAAAAGCGAAACGATATTGTTGCTTTTACTGACGTTTCGCTATTCAATGCTGCTAATAGCTTTATCAGAGTAGTAATATTAAACCAGAATTTACAAAATCTCAGCTTATATACAACAACCAAGTCGTCGTTCTTCAGCAAGATGGAATTTATATCTGTACAGTTTGCGAAATGGTGAATATAACAAAATGATGTGTAGATTGTTGGATTTGATAGGTGTATAAAATTTCTAAACAATCCGAAGCACAGTTTTAAAGTCTGCATTGCTGTCCTGTAAGTCGATTGATGTGCCGAGTGAATTATGTCAGGATATAGTTATATTCTAAATGTACTTATATTTCAGTTAATTATTGTAGTAATATTGTGGCGTGTGCCACTGATAAGATTTATTACTGGTATATACAGAGACGTTCATCGGTATAGAAACATTAAATAGCGGAGACTTAGGTTTGAAGTCAAAGTGAGCAAATTATTCAAGGTTTCGGGAAAACATGTGAGACACGAAAAGAAGTCAAAGGCCAGAAGTAGCAGAACACGGAAGATCTGTGCAGCAAATGACGATTTTCAGATAAGGTGTACATAATTTCGCTATATAACGATACCAAAATTACAAATAAACATTCCGTCACCAAGCCTCTTGTCTTCTACTGTCACAGTAGTAGTAGTTACACAGCCGTTATGCCGATTTTATCATGTCAGAATCAAAAATACAAAATGACTTCCACTAATGTCTTCTAAATGTTTACCTTCTAAATGTCATACTCCAGCCAACTTTGACACACACACACAAAATCTGTCAAGATCACTGCTTGGTAAATCTACTCACAGTTTCTCACAGTCAACGAAAAGACTCCTCTCTTACTGAAGCGTGAAGATGAGTGCTTCCCATCACAAAAAGAGAACTAGACATAGTATAAAAAAAAAAATAATTTCCCATGTAAATGTTTCTTACTCCACAAACTTCATTTGGTGGTGGACAGATAGCCTCCCCAGTAATCTGCTTCGTTTGAATTCTTGCCACACCTGATTGACAGGGGAACGGTTGTCCACCGACAACTACTTTGAGACCACCAGAACAAGAAATCTGTAAATGTGTTAAACAAAAATTGACAGAAATTTATTCACTTTTCTGATTTATCACACATATAAATACTCCCCAGGAAGTACACAAAAGTGTAAATGCTCAACAGAGCAAAGTAGATCACTAATAATAAATTTTAATGATAATAATAACTTTATTCTGAGCAATATGTTCACATACAGTACAGAGTTTTCAACTTGGTATTATCGACTCCCTAAATAGAATCTTCAAGTAAATCACTAATCTACATTATACGGTTAGAAGGAATTACGTTTTTCTCTCCAACATGCTCCGACCCCTGACATATTTGTCACTTCAAGACAAACCAAGTGGTATGTTGAAAGCCATTCATGTGTGTAGAGATTCTTCTTCAAGTAATGAGTAGATAGATGGTCAATACAAAGTATAACTGAGGACGGTTGACGCATTCTGCTCTGTAGATAATTAGATAGCCCAGCAATTTAAGCAGGCTGCCATTTTACCCACTAAATACAATAATCTCATAGCACTTCACAGATATAACGACGGACTGGGATGAAATCTTGTGTCTTTGAGCTTATAAGAGAATATCATTGGTTCCTGTCTGACTACAAAATATCACCATAATAGGGCTGCATTCTTCAAAACATACCTGATGACAAGTGGCTTTGATTCGAGCATCTCTTGAAACCAGCCCATTCATTCTGGCTTCCCAAGCTCCTTTATGCCGAATACACACTGAATTATTGCCGAAATCTTGACCGAACATATTTCCTCTTTGAGCTACAAAGAAAATACAATGTAAGTGAATTTATTATAAATGAACTCTGATTAGTGATATTAATTTCGAACTCATAAGTTATTAAAATTCTAAAAGTAATTCACTTTCATCATATGAAAGCTTCCTGTACAGTATTAAGTGGTTAGACGCATGACAACAAATTTAAGTTGAAAGTATTTACCCTAGGATTTTGAAAGAAATCCACAAGAAGCAATAATCTAATCTAAAGAAAACATTTATTTTTAATAAGGCATAGAATCCTGACTAAGAAGTGGACGCCTTGCAGTCACATGGAATGAAAGTCTAGTCACCAGTTGTGATATTTCCTAAGACAACTGTAACAAAGATATGGTGATCAACGGATTCTCTTTAAATATTTATGTATATATTCTTCGTCTAATGGAAATGGATTCGGTAACCATTAGCTGAAGAGTTAGTTGACAGGTAACATACTTAAATATCACATTTGAAAAGAGTGTCAGCTGGTATCTCTGACAAACATTCACGTTCTTCTGATGTCAAATATATTTCAAGCATGTCAACGGAGGATCAGACATGTTGGCCAGAGGAGACAGGCAATAGGAAACTCTGGGAACCAACAAACCAAGAAACTATTGCTCAACAAATGTGCCGAGGGAGGTGGAGATGGATCGCACACACACAGTGAGAAGACCGTGGAATGGCATCACGTGACAGGCACCTGATTAGAAGCGAATGGTTGTCCGTTGAGCATTCGACTATGGTACGTAGGAGATAAATCATGAGAAGAGGAGATGAGAGCCTATGGACCATCATACAGCCATATAAAGACAGCTGCAGAGAACAGGATGAAATAGAGGTGTTCAATTGAAGCCTTATGTTCCATTCGAAATAATAATGATAATAATAATAATAATGCAATTAACTTTGAGTAATACAGATTTGAAAAGGCTTACCATGTTGTCTGTTTAAATCATGGTTACAATATGTCATCAGAGGCTCTTCAAAGAATGTTTTCATCGGCTATTCGTCCATAAGGTGAGTCAATAAATGAACGAAGAGATATCGAAATATGAATATTTGCAATGCATAACTCTTCTCATAATATTTCTCAAAATGCTACTACCTATCTGCTTCAAACCAAAGAAAGTCTGAAATGCGTTTGTTTATTCAGTCTATCAAACGATTATTCTACTATTTTCGTAAGAAATTGTTACTTAGTGAATAAGGAAGTTTTGAACAGAACTCCATTATATAAAAAATTTTATTTTGATCAATCACACAGTGTTGTGCAGTAGTATGAACTGATGACGTTTCGAGCATAAGCTATTGCTCATAATCATATCAAGTTGATATGATTAGGCATCATCAGTTAATATTACTGTACAACACTGTGTGATTTATCAATATAAAATCTTATCCATAATGGAGTTATGCCCTACCACAGTGCCCAAGTTTTATACTTATATCAAGTTTCTAACACACTTCAATGTTCGTAATCACATCAACTGTGACTACACAACTTTGAAACTAGATTTTCATAGTTTTATTTCTTATATTCCTATCGTCGAAAGGGTAGTTGAATTTCTCAGACGTTGGAGAGAAACGCTAAATAAATCTTCACTTATCAATCTGTCGCTCAACCCTGTTACATCAGATTTTAATACTGTCACTTTTTTATGTCACATTCTATGTTTGAACGCAACTGCATATAATGCCATGGTTGAGCTATTTTCTAGATTTCTTATTTTATTATGATGAACTAAAATATGTTTCGCTAGATTTTGCACTCCACTGAAATAACTGACCCCGTCCTACTACCTAGAACTATGTATCGAACCTGACAGTCATTACAAGCAACTGAATATATTAGATTATTTCGTTAAGTGGGCTCCACAGAATACTTTAACCGACGTAACTCATTTATAAATGAGTTTTTGGATTTTAATGACACTCTTATATCTGCTTAGATAAGAATCTTATTTGGGGTTTCAGTCATTCCATCTTTCTATGCAAGCAAACAAATTAATTGGCGAATTATATGACCAAGTTTTATTCATACATCAATTTGGAAGATGTCTAACCGTTCAAAGAGAATTATTTTGTTGAAATAAAACACACATAAACTACTTCAAGAATTTTCATTTTCATCTTGGAAAGAAATCATTTCAGTGAAGATTAAGGTTAATAAACTTCAACACATGCGTGTAAATATTACCGACAACTATAATTCCTAATCATAGAACATAATTTGAAGAATACATGATATTAGATTTAAAGATTAGACATTGAATGCACTAACCTGAACCATTGGACATCTGTCCACCAGTGTACTACTCCCGCCTTGATTAGGAATACCTCTGAAATATTGCTCAGGTGGAGGTAAACTTGTAGTAAACTGAGCAACAGAACATAGTCCAAAGGCGGTTTTGTGATAACACATCAAATCACTCTTCTCTTCACAATACGGTTCAATACTCTTTCCCCTGAAATATCACAAAATGTCAATATCAATTTGAATTCATCTTCCAATGAGTAAATAAATGTAAGATTATGCAATCAAAGCGAGTGTACTTCCATTCGAGCAAATAGTATAATCTGTAAACATTCACTATGACACTCACTGATCATGCATGCATTGGATGACTTACTGTTGCTTCATTCTGGTGATATACGCATAACAGCTTTCCATTACAAAGCTACAGCCGAGTCCTTTGCCATAGTCCCATTTTTCAGCGAGTGAGAAATCGACGTCCCACCAACTATTATTGGAAGAAAGAAATACAGTCATCAGCATCCAAGAAGAGAATTCGTAATTGTGAAAAGGGGAAACATAATTCGAGTATTACCTTATGTATCGTTGTTGTGACAATTTCTAACTTGAAACGAATGTGTTTTATGTAACTGTGTTTATTATCCACATGATAGCTTTATACTTAATAAATTAACACACTTATTGAAGTATGTCTCGCTCACTTACAATTAGACCAGTTTAATGAAGGCAGGTAAAGTAGGATAGGCTTAAACAATGCTCATTTAACGTTAAATTACCAAATGAAACTCTACTGACTAGTTATGACCAGTGAGTTTCGTCAGATTGGGTCTGAGGACAAAGATGCATCGGTGATATTGGCAAGTGGTAACATCACTGAACTCTGAACCAATTTGCTGGGTGATCAAGGAGCTTAGTTTCTTAGTCTGAAGATCCTGGATTCGATCCCCATTGGTGTCATTGTCATGTACTGACGAACAGTCACAAACTAGGAGGAAACAGCTGTCGAGTACTACCTCCTGGTTTTCAGTGGTTCTCTAGCTGGTATAAATCCGTGATCATATTATTTGATCTATTAGTAAATAACTATTCAACACGTCTATTATGGTTGAATGTTTAGACTATATCTCTACAACTGTGTTATTGAGGTACTCTTTTTGCAATACTGAGTTTTCTTAGTGACTAATCAACTTCTTTCCCATATTTATTGAATCATGGATTAACTACTCATTTAGACATGAAGAAGATGGTTAAAATTTATTGAGATTTCTATCTTGAATCTCGCGCTGATCAGTTTTATTGAATCGAAATTTTCCTCTACTGACGCTTCGATTAGGGTTCCAGTTTATCATGATCTAATCTAACCGATGCGAGTCGAAAGTGTAATTCACAAAACTTATTAAAACTGCTACTCGGGACTCATCAGCTGGATTTGCCTTCACACTTATTCATCCATGGCGCTCCTTTTGAAACTTGAACCCGAATTTATCTTTCCAAACAAAAAATACCATCATACTAGCATTAAGTTGTTGTCAAAGCGTCAGCACTGAAAGCCAACATGTCAACAGAAATTCGACATTTCAGTTCAAAAGGTCAATCAGCATAAAATTCAAAATAATAATTACAAGAAATAACAACTATTACCTGGTGCATAGTAATGGCCTAATGGATAATATTCAGATATTCGAAACGATGAGCATGGATTCGAGTATCACTGCGAAATCATCACCCACTTACAATGCAGGTACATTTATATGAGCAGGCCCAAATAGGCCAAGTCTTGAGACCTGAATAAAACTGCCAACCATCATCGACCAAATGAAATGAGTAAAACGGTATGTCATTTTAATACTCATCCCTAAAGAGGTTAGAATTAATTTACCCACTGAGAAGACATTCTGCTAGCTGTATGGCACACACAGTGAGCTAAAACAATTTTACAGTAACACTTATATGAAGCATAATGAAAATAGTATATATTTCGTAAGAATTCACTTGCACAGATCCCTCAAACAAAAAGCTTTTCGTCTTTCAACTCACCCAGAATCCTTAAAGAATGCCAGTGTCAATCGTGATGCGACTGTCTTCACGCCAGTTACACCTGCCATAATTTCATCCTGTAATAAATAGTGTTGAGGCATTTTGTATATTTGTATTGTATTAAACAGCACTGAGAATTGCTAAAACGAGCACGGATCCTAACACGTTGTGGTTTTGTTCTAATCAAAAATTCGATCTCAGTTCTGTTTGATTCTACGCCAGCAGAAGTGACGTGTTGTAATCACCAGGCTACTTAAATTTCTATTCAGTATGATGCACAAACTCTCTTCCATAATTTATTGTTCTAATCATCTAATAGTGTTCTCGAGTCGCTACATGGACCCACACATATTTTACTTAGGTGTTACTCGTAATTCAGAGCACTACTCAAAGGAAATGAGGAGAAAAGTATCGTTTAGGATTGGATATTGCTTCAGATGGAAGAGCATGGTATCACACGACGTATTGCTGAATACTGTTTAACAACAATGACAAATACAACTGCAAAGTTAGTAGAAAATTTCCAGGTTATTGACTTACACCAACTGTGCGTTTTTCAAAATGTGTGCCAACAGTTCCTTCACCACCTTCATTCTCTATATCAATCCCATCCAGATTAGGACAGTTATAGTGTTTACGTCCTTCAGCCTTGTCAAATGAAATAAAATAAAGCCTTTTAACATTTTGAAGAAACACTCTATATTGGATCTGAAATACGTTAAGGTATTCCTCTGAACTTATAGACGTTCCGATGGGAATTAATGAGATGTGTACAAAACGTGTGATGCTACGCAACATACTTTATACTAGGTTGGTAATCACAGTTCATAACCACCAACAGATGCATATTAGGGCACTATTCAGTTATGTTTATTACAGCAGTTTAATAGAGTCTGTTCATATGACAGCTATATTGTAAAGAGATAAGCGGTTTCAGATTTATAAGGTTGAGTTTTTGAAAATACAAGAATGAATGGATATTTAGTAACATTTTGGAGAAACACTCTATATTTATCAAACTTCCTATTGGATCTGAATTACGCTAAGGTATTCCTCTGAACTGTATAGACGTTCCGATGGAAATCAAGGATGCGTGTACAAAACGTGTTCAAAATATCATCAAGTAAATAATACTGTTTCAAAGTGTGATATATCTAATAAACAAACCAATATGGAAAACACTGGGAAGTTGATGTAATCATCACTTGCGACTGATCACAAAGTGAAGTTGATTGAAATTTAAGTGATCACCTGTGATCGCAAGAGCTTCAATAAGTCAGATATGATGGGAAATACTCGTCCAATTAAAGTGGCCTTTGGTGTCGCTATACTACGATTTGGTGGAGAGTTAGTATTCATGGACAACTGGTTGCCATCCAGTGGCTAAATGGTCAGCTGGCAATCTCGAAGATATTAGGTTCGGTAGCTTGGCTGCCTACTACCAGAGAGGACCTAGAAAGCAGGAATCGGTTGTCCAATGCTAAATGGAATTCGATCGTTCCTCAACTGATATTACGATCACCTACTGCATCAACCGTAATCACGTTGTTCGAAATCATAGTTCACAAAATTACAGATCATAGGTTTTGATGTTTCAGTGATTTTCATTTTGTTAATTCCATTGTAATTAGGTTTAAAATCGGTAGGATTCTGACGTCTATTGTCAATTTACAATACCCAATCTTCATAGGTTATTCCCGTTTATTTAACCTGACATTTCAGATAAAGTCAAAATATTTTTGTAAGTAAACATACCAATAGTTGTGGAGTGACAAAGGATAGAAATTGTTTGCTGAACGATCCCACAGCTGAAATCCATGGACGATTGATGAGTTTAACAGTGCTGTCACTAAAAGATAAAACATTAAATGCACAAAGCAGAAATTTCATCATTCTCAAATGCGAAAGATGATGTTCGTCAACTAGAACTATAAAATTTTCTGTCTTGTTTGTTCCACAAGAAGTGGTCGTCCACATTTGAAAATCTTTAGTAGAATGTACCCATGAGCACATAGGGGACCTACCTCAGGACATTCAGGTTACAACGAGGACTCATTCATCATTCAACATCTGGGACGGAACTGCCTTGTGGTACAAAAGTCATAGCTTCGATCCCCAGTGGGATCATGGGTGCATATCACTGAAGAATCTCGAAGTAAGAGGAAACGGGAGTTCGCTACTCTCTGGTATTCAGTGTTCTTCTAACTAATTGCCATCAATGATCAAACTTGAAACCAATCGAATTCCAATGAAATTACACTTGAATATAACAACAAGGTCATCTGAGTGAATTACTGAAACACACAATATAGACGATATTTTTGAAGACGTAAAAACTAATATGAACAACGGCTTCTACGCTCCAGTTCTGTTTTCATGTGTTTTGGTGATATTAGCTCTATATAATATATATATATATCTGTTTTCTTGCCATGTCATTCATTCTCTGATCGTAAATATTGTCAGTATCACCTCACGTTGTGTTATTGGCGTTACTTACTGTTTCGTAAATATTTAGTCTGTCTCACCAACACAAGATGTCTACACATCATGCTTAACTACAGGGACAAGAAAATGACTGAATTTTACATTATTGACACTCGAATATCAAGGAGACTTCTCATTGGTGGAGGGTGGACTGAATCACACAGGGGGCGAGAAGACTGGTATTTATTGAGTCGACTGGAAAACTCTAAAATATTCGAACTTTGTGAACGATTTATGTTAACTGACGCAGGAGCTGGAAGATGTACAACATAGAGATCAACATTTTGTTAGAGGTAGCTGGCAGGGAGGACGGAACGTCAGGTGAACAAAGAGAACACAGAGGTGATGAAGATACCGAATCCAAAACAACGAGAACCGGTCACTATCAAATGGGGAAATGTGAAAGAGTTCACCCTCCTCACGCATAAAAGTACCATCGTTTCAACGACAGGCAACAGCACGGATGAAGTCACGAAAACGAGTTATGGTCAGAAACACAAGACAGCTCTTCATTATTACGAAGTCAGTCTGGAATCAAGATGCATTCAGCATAAACTAAGCGGTTCGAATTTTCAACACTAATTTCAAGTCAGTCAGTGTCTCTATATGATTCAGAGATTTGTCACAGGCGTTACGAATTGGATGAAGACTTTTACTAACAACCACCTTCGCCGGCTGTAAACACTAATAATAACAGGTTGAAATATATCCTGTTTACACACAGTACATCATGACGTCATTCGTGTTGAATTCATCATCTACTTTGATTCCTTCATTCATCCACAGCGATTTCAGTATTTCATGAATACACTGATGAATAAGTTAACATTTTAAGTAAGCACGGAGTTCGCATTGATAAATCG